GGACCTTCACAATCCACTACCTTTCAAAAAATATTGACTGCCTGGATGAACAAAAAGGCCATGAGAACGAACTCACATAGATCATCCAGGCTGCGTAGCGCTCTTTGAGGTTGTACAGCACCGCGGGCTCATGCAGGTGGGTCATCATGGCCATGTCCTCTATCTTGTCGTATTTGGGAGGGTTCATGGGGAACACCTGGTCATCCTTCACCGTCAGAGTCTGGTAAACAGGAAAGGTGACTGTTATGTCAACTGAGTGACCAAACCAAAAAAAAAAAAAAAAGAATCAATCAAATGTTGCTGGGTCCTGGGACTTCACTCACTGCCCCCGCTTCAGTCTTGACGGTCACTTTCCCTGATTCTCTGCTCTGGACCGTCCCTTTGACGAAGGATTCCTTGGGCTCCACCACAAAGACAGATGTCTTGGCATCAAAGGGCCTGTTCTGGGCCTCAATGCGCTCTTTTTCAGATTTTCGGAGGTACGGAGCAGCCTCCCCAAATACAGCCATTTCCTGGTCTGAACTCATGGCTGCAGGTTATTTACTGATGGCAGCCCAGTTGAAAACCCTGCCTGGCAGAGGAAGAAAAGATATTACTGAAATTCAGAAACTGGATGATTAGATTCACATTTTAAGAAAACAAAACATTCTTTTTCCACTGACCCAGTGAGCGCTCAGCATTGAATTGCACATGACCACCTCCGTGACTAGGTTAGAGGTGAAATGTCAAGTCTCTGGTGCTGGGTCGGTGGTGATAGGTATTTGATCTTGCATTTGGAAAGGCACTGTTGTTCCTAGCCCAGCTGATGGATGATTGTAGCCCCTTTCTCTGTCTCCTTTTTTATGTATATTAGTCTTTATATGCTGCCTATCACAGGCTTATACAGAACACAAAGCTATGATGATGGCAGGGTGTTCTACACCTTTCTTGCTTTTAGTTCTTATCTTCCAGTTGGATTTATAAGCACCTTGTAGGCAGGGACTATGTTTCCATTTGGGGCATCCTTCACACCTGTTGCAACACCTGATGGATACCAGGAAGAGCTCAAAGCTGGCTTTGGGAATTGAAAGAACAATAGAAAAATGTTGCTAAAATTCTAGGGACTATTCTGTACATGGTGAAAATCTTTTCATTATAGATTTGGTATTTACAAAGACTGTCTGATCTAGGAAAGCAGAAATGTGAGGAGCTTTGTTTTGGATTGTTTTGTTAAAAAATATTCTATCGTATGTCAATTTCTCTGATTCCTATATCATAATTTTGATGAAGTCAGCTTCTTCACTTCAGTATTTCTCAAACACTTATTATACCATGTTATTATCTTTGTTTTCTTGCCTTATTTATTAAGATTCTCATTAATATTTCATAAAACTTTTTTTAAGATCTGTCTCTTGCCACTTTAACTGACATTCATTAAACCTGTCCATAATGATCATAGGTTACCTATTTTATAACAATAATCTTATCTTTTCCAGGAAAACTCAAAGCACTTGGATAAACTGTTCTATATTTTCCCATTCACACTACAGTGATTCAGAGAACACAAAATGTTTGTCCTGATGAAAACACTCACAATTGCTTTCCATATCATGTTTTTCAAAGTTTCCATTTTACAGATTGTGAAACAACATGCAGATTTAAGCTACTTTTGCCAAGCAAGCATTCAGTCTATTCAGACAGCATCTCAAGGTTTTTCATATTATATGGTTCTGTAGTATAGGACATTTACATTTTCTCTATAAATGAATAATAAGACCCTGAAATGTATTGCATGTTGTAATTCAATTATTTAAAGACAAACTGCAGTGAAAAATGGGAAAAACTGTGTATAAAACACATATAAAGCCTCTGAGAAAATATTTTCATATATTACAAAGGATACAAATGAATGAGAACAAGTTTTTAAAGTCCCCCTCAGCATTCTTCAAGGGAAGGATGATCAGCCATGAAATTGAAATGCTTTCATTTGATAACCCCCTGAGCACTCTCTAAACCACTGCAGAAGATTTTTTGTACCCTGCAAGGAATGAGGAAAAAACGTCAGAATCTTACCTTAGAGATGCAACCTTGAAGTGGGTCTGAACTGTAAGAAAAAAGAGCAGATTTCTTCTGATTAACTTCTAACAATTCCCAATAATAGCTTAATTCTTCATTAAGAACCAGGAAATGCCTGAGAACACTAAAACATCTAATTAAGATTGCTACAGAGTCAGTCGGTGCCTCACTGGCAGGGCTGCCAGGGGCAGTGGGAGCCAGGATGTGTGGCATGTGTGTGGGCAGCCAGATATCCCTTACCACCTTCCAGACAGAGCCCTGTCCTTACACACACTTACCTTGAGACTTTATGAGGAAAGACAAGCCATCCTCATTCCAAGGGTACTTTTATAGGATCAAATATGGAAAACGCATAGTCTCCTCCTCTTTCTTAAAAAACGTTTGGCAAAACATGTTTTTGGCAATGAAGGTCTCCAAGCATAATTCCCTTCATATTAAAGATGTTTGGATATAATTAGAAATATTTTCTCGCACATTGGGTTAAGTATATGAATCAATCTCCTATAAATAATTTGTGATGTTGGCAACTTGAAAGGGATCTGCCTTTGGAATAATGTAAGGTGTTGTTTCAGAGACAGCTATGTTCTGCAATCTCTGGACTTTGTTGCCTGCTGCCCTTCTGTTGCACTGACTCGCCCATGTGAAATCTTTTCAACTGCCCACACAATTGCAGAGACTCTGGTAGGGAGGGAAGTTTCTGCTTTTTACCAGAGTGTTATAAAAAGATTGTTAGTTCCTCCCAAGAAGGCATTACTTTTTTTCTCTTGCCATTTATTGTGCTTTTCCAAGGATGCTTAGAAATTCAACTTTAAAACTTGCCTTGTGAAAAACAACCAAAGGTAGACAGGGTCTTTTGTTTCTCCCAGTGAGTTGTCTGCCTCATCGTCAGATCACACCACTCCCACTTCAGAGCTGCTCCAACATTGTATTGCCTTACTGGGCTGAGCTGTCCTGCTCTCTCTCTCTCTCTCTCTCTTTTTTTGTTAATGCAAGTTGCTTGTGAAATCCTGTTTCCTCTATGAAATTCAACATAGGAAAATAGTAGAAAACAGGCCATTTCTCTGTCTAAATATGCAGTGTCTCTGACTTTTCCTTCATCAGCTACCCATGGCATATATTTCACATTTTGCTTACAAACAATACCTGAACATTTTTTCTATCTATTCTGATTTTTTTTAATAAAAAAAATATTCAGGTGTTATCTCTATGGCTTTGCATCTCTCTCTGTCAGCACTGTCTTTCTGGGACTGAGACCAAATTTGCTTCATATGCCCTGTTTTGCTACCACCCCTGTATTACTGTACTTGCACTTCAATTGATTCAATGAAATAAGTTGCCTTATGAAAGCAGATGTCTGGAGGTACTGTTTTAATGGTCATGATTTATTATTGTAAGGGACCATCTAATCCATATTCTTCATTTGACTAAGAAAACAAGTGAGATGCAAAGAATAGAAGAGTCTCCACAAATTGCACAGCAGTCTAGACCCTGGTCACCTGATTTGCAGTCCAGCCTGATTGTTGATAACACTCTTCTGCCAGGAGTGGATTAAAGCCGTCAGGAAGGGTCTTAAGGGAGACGTGCATCTCAGAGGGGCTTTCCTCGCCAACTCTTAACCCACTTGGCTACTACAGGTGCAGCATTTTACTTTCTTTCATGTCTGTTTTATCAGGCATCTGAAAAATGTGGACAATGATTCTCAGGAAGAGAGAACATTTTACTAATGCTCTCAATAGGATTTGATGGGAATTTTAAGGCAGCCTTTTGACCTACACTGGATAGATTTTTCAATATATAGAAATAAGTCGTTTTTGGTCATTGCTGCCAAGTTAGGAGGCACTGAAACATTTAAGGGTGATTCGGGAACAAAGTGGAAGAGGAGCCAACGCAGTGAGAAGGGCGGTCCCACAAGCCTTCCTGGGGCCGGTGCGGCCACGTGAGTACGAGTTACCTGTAAGCCAGGACCACGTGCCTCATACTTTCACGGGACCATTTAAACTAATCTGCTCTTGCTTTCTATTCAGAGGGTCAGCTACCGTTTAGCTTCTCCTTTATGCTGTCCAGGAAGGTTATATTTTTGGATATGCATCTCAAAGAAATCCAGCTTAAAAAAATCTTGATCCTCTAGGGAAGCTTCTTTAAGTAAATCAGATTGCTACTATATGTGGTTTTTGCAACAAATTCGTACTTATCATGTATGTTGAATATACATTTAAATTATCTATTTTAGGGTTCATATTTTACTGACCCTTTTTTAACCTTTTATTTTGACTTTTCACATGATTATACAGGGGCCCATCAAGTCAGGAAACATAGGCTAATAAATACCTTATTGATATTAGATTATAATATCTAGAATAAAATTCTTTTTGTCTCCAGACTTTATAGTCACCGTGTAGCTTTCATAGAGTGAGAAAGGTCACATCTCACTCTTTCATGTCATCCCCATTACCCACTGCACATAATGTGAATATACAGCATATTGGCATTAATGATGAAAATCTTCATATGCTAATAATAATACTGTGGATTTGTATCCTTGATAACAGTATTAAGCAAAGAGAATTACTGATGCAGTTCAGCCTGAATCCCCTGTGTGAGAATGTCACTGGTGCCATTCTTTGCACAGACCTGAAAAATAAGGTTCACATTAGGGGAATCGGGAGTTTTCTAAAATCCTATTATGTCCCAATATTAAGGAGAGGTTAAAAAGAAGGAAAAATGACTTCCAGATTTCTGTTCATGAGAACAGGATTCTCTGATAAGCCACAACTTTATAGTCTTAAAATACTGTTATAGACCTCAAAGAAAAGGGAATATGTAATTACTTCTTAGTGGCAGGTTGAATGTAATTGTTTGATAGCCTTGTGATTATTTCTAGCTTTTTGTTGTTGTTAATGCAAGTTAACTGCTTCAGGAGGATAAAGAAAAGACCAGTCTAATGATACTGTTTACAAAGTCCCCTATGCTCTTTATTTCCTTCGCAATAGGGTAGAATAGACAATAATTACAGAGAGAAACGACCGAAGGCCCACATTGTGTGGGTCTCTTCAGTCATTCCGTAGCACCAGGATGTGATCACTCTTCACTTATGATTTTCGTGTGAACCTCCCGGCTCTTCACCCGCAGCTTGTTGACCTGGGACTCGGCAATGTCGGCCCGCTCCTCGGCCTCCTCCAGCTCATGCTGGAGCTTGCGGAACTTAGAAAGATTTGTGTTGGATTGTTCCTCCTGAGAATAAAAATGGAATCATCAGGAACCCATAATGTGCATCTCGCTAGGCTACATAGACCTAAAGGAAGAAAAGACTTGGCATCTATGGAAAACTTACAGTACTCCACAGGGAACACTCTTGTCTATCTTACCACCTCCTGGATTTTGCTTATCACTGAGATGAGCTTTATGATTCATTTGGGGCACGGTGTCTCATAAATAATGGCATCCCTCTCATAAATAATGGCAACCAAACATGTTAAAAAATAGTATGTATCACCAGTAGAGCAAGAACCAAATAGAAGAGCAGAGAAGAAGGCAAGAAAACCGGAGCCTGCTTGTTAATGCTCACTGTAAGATGGCTGTTGGTTCCAGTTAGAAATTCTTTATCATATTAAAGATGAAATCTCAAAAGTTGCCTTAAAGAAATGTTGAGTTTTATCGTATATCATTTTGGTACATTTCAAAACACTCTTTTTCTCCTGCTTTGGATATAATGATTCTATAGATAGATACCCTAATATTAAGTGATCCTTAGAATTAACCCTATTTAATCACCAATGGACTGTTGATGGACAATTCCCTCAATAAAGTAAGGTTTTCAGGGACTTAAATTATTTTTGCTATAACTATGCTTATGAGTAAACCTGCCTTTACTCACCCTCCCCTCCCCATTCTCTTGGGGACAGGTTTCAGTACAAGATTATATGAGCTTCCTAAAATGATTTGGGAAGTTTTCCATATCTTCCCATGCTCTGGGATGTCTTATGTAGCTTGGGGATTATCTGTTCCTTGAAATTTTGAAAGATCTACCTGGACCTGAATTCATTTCCAGAAGTAATTCTGAAGTAACTAACTCAGCCAACATAGTAATTTATATTCTCCCATAAAAAGCATCAGTTTATTCAAGGTTTCACCTTCATTGACAGGTTTATATTTTACATTAAAAAAAAATCCTCTACTTACATGGTCTGTCCCCTTCCTCACCCCTAATGTTATAAGTTTGTATTTTCTTTCTTCCTTTTCTTGATTAAACTTGTTTTAAGTCTATTTATTTTATTAACTCCCCAGAAATTATCACATATTACTGAAATTATCAAGTTAGCAGACAGTATGCTCTGATTCATCCATTTCTATCTCTAACAGTACTTTTTACTTATATTAATTTATTATTTTTAAAATTTCTTCATTGGACTGTCAGTTTATTCAATTATTATTTTTTCGATTCATAATGAAACAAATAAAGCAGTGAATTGTCCTCCAAGGAGAGCTTTCACTAGATTAAATGGAGTTGTAAAAGTAGAACTCCCTTGAAATTTTATTTATAATTAATAGTAATTATATTTTTTATTTCTAATTTAACCCAACACTTATTAAAGAAGGTTAGTTTTTTAACATTTAAGCATTTGGGAATTTGGTTATATTTTTTCATTGCCTTACAATTTTATCCTTCTGTGGCCAGAGAATGTGGCCTGTATTTCTGCTTTGAAATTTTTTGATGTCTCTTTCTGAATCAAAATTTAATTTGAAAGTCAAGCTATGACTATTACAACTAATAAGCAGTAAGCACAAAAATGCACAAATGTTTTTAAGAAGTAAACAGTGTTCTAAAAAGCAAACAGCTTATTTACTACAAGGAGTAGTTAATCTAATTATTTATTTATTAGCTTTACTTAACAAAGGATTTCTCCCTTGTGTCTTAAGGATACTTACAGACTCCTCAGCTTGTCTCTTGTAGGATTTCACTTTAGCCTGAAGTTTATCTACCAAATCCTGAAGCCTGAGAATATTTTTCCGATCTTCTTCCGTCTGAAAAATTACAAAAACCATAGACTTTACTTCAAAAGCACATGACTACTGTATCATTGCATATGGATGTTTCACATATATTTGGAGCTGCACTTTTCTGACAAAAACTATTGCTGTACCTGGTAAGTGAGTTCCTTCACTCTCCTCTCATGTTTGCGTAGACCTTTGACAGCTTCAACATTACGCTTTTGCTCGCTCTCAACCTCTCCTTCCAGCTCGCGCACCTATGAATAAACAGGCCCTTAAGAATTTTGATCCAATAAAGCATTGGGAACAAACGGAAATAGTAGAGACTGAGACACCCACCCTGGCCTCCAGTTTCTGGATCTGCTTCTTCCCGCCCTTCAGGGCCAGCTGCTCAGCCTCATCCAGACGGAGCTGCAGGTCCTTCACCGTCTGGTCCAGGTTCTTCTTCATCCGCTCCAGGTGGGCGCTGGTGTCCTGCTCCTTCTTCAGCTCCTCGGCCATCATGGCCGCCTAAGCAGCAGTAAAACAAAGCCAGTAAAACAGCTGCAATAGCAGGCCGAGATTCATGTTAACCATGGCGTCGCCCTCTGCTCACATCAGTGATGGCCTTCTTGGCCTTCTCTTCTGCGTTGCGGGCTTCCTGGACGATGTCCTCCATCTCTCCTTGCATTTGGGAAATATCTGTTTCCAATTTCTTCTTGGTATTGATCAGGCTGGTGTTCTGATAAAAAATAAGTTATAAAACTTTTCATCATGTTACCAAAGTACTTAGTGGTACCCATTTAAAAACATTTTCAGATAATAATTTGTAAGTCAAATGCCCTTCAATATTATTTTGTTAAGAATATGGACAACTTTAAAATATTTTAGGAAATGAATCAGCAGTAATTTATGCAAAATAAAACAAGTGATTTCTCCAAAATAGAGTTAAAATTTGGTAAAAATATAAAAACCTAGCTGTCATATAAAACATTTGTCTTATATTTTTGGGGACACATAAGCATTTACTAAAGGTGTGTTCTTTGTGCTGAATCTCACCTGGGTGTGGAGGAGCTGGACGCGCTCACTGGCGTCCAGGAGCTCCTGTTCTGCGATTTTCCTGCTCCTCTCTGTCTGCTCCAGAGTGGCCCGCAGCTCCTCAATCTCGGCCTGCAGCAGGTTGGCTCTGCGCTCCACCATGGCCAGCTGCTCCTTGAGGTCCTCCTGGCTTCTGAGGGCATCATCCAGGTGCAGCTGGGTGTCCTATAGAATGAATGATCATTGAGACACCTTGTCCTCGGGGCTGCAGTCACTCCAGCCATCCTGGGACCATCTCTTGCTCCCATTTACCTTGAGGATGCCTTGCGTGTTCCTGTAGTTCCTCAGGGCCTCAGCAGCCATGCGGTTGGCGTGGTTCAGCTGGATTTCCATTTCATTGAGGTCTCCCTCCATCTTCTTCTTGATCCTGATGGCATCATTCCTGCTCCTGATCTCAGCATCCAGGGTGCTCTGCATCGACTCCACGACTCTAATGTGGTTTCTCTTCAGCTGGTCAATCTCCTCATCCTTTTCAGCAATTTTCCTATCAATTTCAGACTTGACTTGGTTCAGCTCCAGCTGGATGCGCAGGATCTTTCCCTCTTCGTGTTCAAGAGATGCCTTAATGGACATCAAGGGGTGATGTTAGCAGGGAATGGAAGCATTCACAAGTTTCTCTGCATACTCACCCTTTCATTGATTTTTGTGCCACTTATTTTTTTTTTTCAATCTCGGCAGGTGGGCCTAATTCTTTTTTGGCCTTATTTGTTTATAGTGTATGATATGTCCTGTACCTCTGCCTCCTCTAAAGCAGCCTGAAGTTCAGATTTTTCTTGTTCCACTTGTTTCTTTATTTTTTCCAGTTCATGGATACGTTTCCCTCCTTCTGCAATCTGCTCAGTGAGGTCAGAGATCTCCTCTGTTGTTTGGGTAAAAGACAGGTAGAGACTTGGTCAGACAGAAGATATTAGAGAACTGGTCCTCCAAGGCAGGAATATTATTGAAAGTGAAAGGGACTCACGCTGCAAGTTCTTGTTCTCTCGTTTCAAAGTTTCTAGCTGATCCAGGGATTCCTCATAGGCATTCTTCATCTTGAACAGCTCAGTGCCAAGAGAGCGGGCCTCTTTCTGGGAGGCCTCGAGCTCAGCATGGGTTTCCTCATACTTCTGTTTCCATTCTGCAAGGACCTGAAACACCGAGAGTGGTCACCTTCTGTAAAGGATCGGGGGAGATAGGAGAGAGCAGAGGCTGGTGCAGAAATTACCTTATCGAAGTTCCTTTGCTTCTTGTCCAGGGCTGCACAGGCCGCGTTTGTTCTCTCCACATCCAGCATGAGGTCCTCCACCTCATTCTGGAGCCGCTGCTTTGTCTTTTCAAGGGAAGCACATTTGGCATTCACAGCTTCCACATGTTCCTCAGCAGCCTGCAACCGCTGGGCCAGCTTCTTCCTTGAAGGTTATATAGGTTTGTAGAGAGGGAAGCAAACCAAAACAAGAATTATGAATGATCACCACATTGAAAATTTTGGGAACTTTACATTAAAAATATCTATGAATTCATTCAACAGTTACTGATGAGCTCGATTCATGAGCCAGACCCTGGATACACAGCAGTGAAGAGGGCAAAAAAATGTCTGAATGTGTGAGAGAAACAATAAGCAAATGAGAAAATGCAGAACACATCACACATAAAACTGCAATGAAGAAACATAAAACAGAGTTAAGGGGTGGGCAACTGTGCTAGATACTTAGGAAAGGCCTCTATCAGGAGGCAACACTTGGGTCAAGATCTAAATGACATCAGAGAGTGAGCCAGAGGGAGGTCTGGGGGAGGATATGGCGGACAGGACCAGCAAGCGAATTCTTTATCTCGGCAGTGAGCTTGGTGTGCTTGACAAATGGCAGGAAGGCCTATTATCTGTATAATGTTTTGTTATTTTTTGTTTCCTTGACTGGATTTTAGGCTAGGAGGGCAGGGATCATGTTTGCTTTATTCCTGATAGTGCTTGGGGCCTGATAGTGCCTGAAATAGGAGATAATTAATGAACATTTGCAGGCAAAGTCACTCATCAGAGGCTGTATCTTTCTGATTCAATGTGCAAAGCCTTTTGTGCATGCTCTCACGTCTGCACACGTACTTGGCCTCCTCCAGCTCCTCAGTGCGCTGGATGGCGTCCGTCTCGTACTTGGTCCTCCACTGGGCCACCTCGCTGTTGGCCTTGGACAGCGCCCTCTGCAGCTCGGCCTTGGATTCCTGCTCCTCCTCGTACTGTTCCCGCAGCAGGTCACAGTCGTGGCGGGCTGACTGCAGGGCGTGCGCCAGGGCGTTCTTGGCCTGAGGAGATAGTCACACCTTCATTTTACAGGATGCTTAAATGTTGAACTCTTAAGTTTCAAAACCCTTTAAAAGCTGGTGTAATGGACTCCAGTTAGGACCAGGTCGTGGGGGAAGGGTGAGTCATAATAATAGTTACTTTTATCTCCTCTTCAAGTTGCCTCTTCAGTTCCTCAATCTGTTGAGTAAAAGCTTGTTTGCCCCTTGATAACTGAGACACCAGAGCTTCTTTCTCATCTAGCTGTCGTGAAAATTCACCTGAGAGTCAAAAGAAATGGTACCATTTTTTTCAGTGGATAAAAAAATTTGCAAGCTCTTATAAGAAATAAATTTTATCTCTTAACACCCCACCCCTCAGTTGAGTTGTCAGAGAACTGGATTCTCTGTTGACATCTTCTTGGTTAAGGTCAAATTTCTGATTTTTATGGCGAAACGCAATCTGAATGAATAAATTGCAGCTTAAATTCTTCTTGTTCTCTCCATAACTAATGTTTCTGGGTGATATGATATTATGTAAAACCTTATGATCCTGTCAAGAAAGGGAACTAAAGTATTTAATTCTGCGTAGTCCCAGTTTCATAAGACTTTTGAGAGACTGGGTCATCCACTGCCCTATAGAGGAATTCGGTTCATTCTGATACAGATAAAAAGAAGCTTGGTCTAAAACAGAAGCCCTGGACCCACGCTGGAGTGACTTCTAATCCCAAACACCCCTGCAACATGGCCAAATACTCAAGGCCTTTCGGGAACAGAGCTTCATCCAGTCCTATTGAATTCTTTATCTCAGTGTTGTCCCCAAGTGACCTTGCAAGCAGGTTGAAAGTCTGAGCTGTTCAGTAAATCACACATGCTCTCAGTTGCTTTTATTAGGCTCTCACATCACCAAATCAGTTCCTTTTAACGGCATCATCTCTACTTTTAGGCACCATCGGAGAGGAGGCAGTTACCAGATTCAGTTTGCAAGCGTCCCCTCTGGGTTGTCAGGTCATTGATGAGCCTCTGCTGCTCTTCTTCCTTTGATTTCAGTTCACTCAGTTGGTCCTCTAGAGTGCGGCACATTTTCTCCAGGTTTCCCTAGGTGAGAAAAAGCGTAAGAAGTAGGACATTTTAATATAATTTTGCGATAGCTACAGTTTCCTCTAAAACAAAAAAATATTTATTTTGACATACAAAATAAACCAGATTCTCTTACATGTAATCTGATATATAGGAAATGTTTTTGTATTTTATGATTGCTGTCCTAACTTGGGAATTTAGGGATTTAAAAAAAAGTAAACCATGAAGCCTTATTCAATATTGATGTAAGACATTTATGGATTATGTTCTCAATTTAAGATTTTGTAAGAATTCTAGGGCATATTTCCTAAAACATGTTCATAAATACTTCATTGCCTTTAGGTAAATGGAACTTCGGATAACTGACAATATTGGAGACAGAGAGAGCACAGATGTCCTGCGTGCAAAACCTGGTGCTGTCAATTATTAATGGTGTGATGGGGCTGATGCATTTATTCGAATTTCAGCTTCTTCATGTGTTAAGTGGAAATAATACAAATGCCAATATCTTTCCTGCTTACCTCCTAGATTACTACTAAGAACAAATGGCATAATGTGTGTCAAATGGCCTGTGCAAACTATGATGTGTATGTAAAGGGTTATCGTTGTTAATAACAATTTCCCAGAGTCTGTAGTACCTTGGCTTTAGAGACTGTTTCTACATTACTGGCCAGGTCATCGATCTCCATCTTCATCTCACTCTTCTCCTTCTCCAGCTTCTGCTTGACCCTCTGCAGGTTGTCAATCTGCTCCCCAAGCTCGGCCACGCTGTCCGCGTGCTTCTTCCTCAGCGTGGCCGCCGTGGCTTCATGCTGCAGGGTGGCCTCCTCCAGGTCCCTGCGCATTTTCTGGAACTCAGCCTCCCGCTTCTTGTTCATCTCAATCTGGGCCGTGGTCGCCCCTCCGGCTTCTTCCAGCCGCTCGCTGATCTCCTCCAGTTCCCGGGAGAGGTCAGAGCGCTGCTTCTCTGCTTTGGCCCGGGAGGCCCGCTCCGCCTCGATCTCCTCCTCCAGCTCCTCGATGCGGGCCTGGAAGTGGTGAAAAGGACAAACTTAGCTTATTTTTGGTAGTAATTTTGTCTTGTTGAATTAGTCTGATAGAAATCATGGACTTACCTGTAGCTCCTTGATCTTCTTCTGCAGTTGAATGCCAAGAGCTTGTTCATCTTCAATCTTGCTCTGCAGATTGCTAATTTCAAACTCTTTCCTTTTTGAAAAGTAGAAAAGGAGACCAACTGAGTCCAAGTCCATCATTAGGAGCAAGTTTACAAGCAATTCTCCCTTACTTACTTTTTGAGCTTTTCATCAAGCTGTTGTTTTTCATTTTCAATGTCCATTATGGACTCTTGGGCCAATTTGAGGTCACCTTCAAGTTTCCTCTTAGCCCTTTCTAGGTCCATGCGTAGTTTCTTTTCTTGCTCCAAGGAGCCTTCAAGCTAAATATAAATACTGTTGAGTCAAAAAGAATGCTTAGCTTCCTTTTGAAGGAAATAATTTCCTTCTTAATCCTAGACTTACATCATCCACTTGCTGCTCTAGCTTGATTTTAGCTTTGGTCAGGGTGTTGACCTTGTCCTCTTCCGCCTGCAGGTCATCCAGGGTCTGCTGGTGGGCCTCTTGGAGGGCCTTCTTCTCCTTGGTCAGCTTAGCTATGGTTTCGTCCAGGCCCGCCATCTCTTCTGTGAGGTTTTTCACCTTGGGAAGTAAAAATATTTTGCATTACATATTATATTTTGGTGGATTCAAATTTATGCTTGTCCTCCATAATAATAATGAAAACATACATGTTCTTCTATATTTTCACACCTTGTTCTCTGTGGCATGCTTTTCCTTTTCAACCTTGGCCAGTGTGAGCTCAAGGTCATCTATGTCTTTCTTGAGCTCCGAACATTCGTCCTCCAGTTTCCGCTTCTTGGCCGTCAGCTCGGCGTTGATCTCCTCCTCATCCTCAGCCCTCTCAACTGCCTCTTTGATTTTGGCCTCCAGCTGGATTTTGGTTTTGATCAGCTGGTCACATCTTTCTTCTGCATCCGCCAAACCTTCAGCTTCCTTGAGTTGGAATCAAAATCAAAATTGGGAAGAACAAATGAAATATTTCACAATGAAAACAGTGTAAGTCTCTGCTGCTGGTTCTTTAGATTTAAACTTTTATGAGTCACCTTCTATGTGCAGTGCAGGATTCTCCATGACATGGGAAGATGCAAATATATCAGATACTGTACCATTTCTTTAGAGGAGTATATTCTGCAGTAGGTTAGAAAGCCTACCCCACAACACACACAGCTACAATCAATACAGAAAGCAACTAGTGACATAAGAGATCAGAAAAGTTGTATCAGAGATGGTTTCATGAATGAAGTGGCATTTAACTTGGGCCTTGAAAGATGGGTAGGATTTGGTTTTGCAGAAATCAATTTACTGGGGTATGGAGCTGGAGGAGAGAAGGCATTCCAGCAGAAGAAATTCAAAATGTTACTTCTACTAAGCTGTGTCTCTTCGTAGGACAGGTGGATGGTCCTGGTGATGATGCTCTAAGTTCAAGTTGAGGCTAAAGTAATCCAGAGAGTCCTGGCAACCTACTCTGTTCCCAATTAAGAAGGTTAGGGATGGACAGGAAATGAGAGCGATATTGATATATGCATTCACCATTGAGCCTTCATATCCTATCAGCCTTTGAATACACAAAAAGAGTAAAATGTGTTGAATATAGCCATGTGGTGAATATAGTAGTGGAGAACAGATTCTGAGTATTTCTCTAGGGACAATAGAAGAGGATTCAGGATAGATTTGAGGGGGGTGGGAGCAGTAAAACACCTTTTTTTCCATCTGTAGTTATTACTTCCTACTGTAGTTATTTCCTTTTGTAGAAGAAGTGATTATACCACCCAAACTTGAAAGAAAAGACTACTTAATCAACAGGAAAAAACATGATTTTGTGATGGGTAAATTATACCAGACCAATTCAGTTCACTCCAAATGAAAGACAGTCTTAAAAATTACATTTCAGAGTTGATGGAAGCAATTTTAAAATGATTGGTTCAGGAGCAGGGAGCAGGGTGGGTGGAAGAAGAGAGAGCTGGGGCCAGGCAGAGCAGTTAGGTGCTAAAGCAGCAATCGGGTGTGGCACTGTGGGGCTCTGACCACAGAGATGGATCCGAAAGAGCAAATCTGAGTTTTGGAGATCAATAACTAACAACCATTCAGTAAAATCTGACGTAGAAATACTGCCATTTGTCAGCTGTACATTTTGTGATTTAAGACCCACAGACATCTAGAAGTTCAAGGAAATTTCAGAGAAAAAAAATCACTTCTTGCTATCCTCCCCTTAATTTTTATTTGGGATAGTTTCCCATTAAAATCACTTTTAAGAATCTGTCTTCAAAGAGAAAAAAGTCATAAGCCCTGTAATTTGATGAAATTGCATAGAATGGAAGACAATGGTCAGTTGTACCTCACTGCCCTGGTCCTGGCTGGGGAGGGGCTCTTGGGGGATGACGGAGTATGTGGACTTGACGGTACCAGCAGAGTGCCGCAACCTTCTCCCTCTGGTGCCTGCCCAGCTCCCGGCCGCGGGCGGCCGGGGTTCCTGCTCTTGCAGCCTGAGTAGCAGCACCCAGGATGAGAGCACTACTTACAGACTGAACCTGGAGCTGCAAGTCGTTTTTTTCTTTCAACAGTGACACCATCTTTTCTTCCAGTTCCTTCCTTTTTGCCTCTGACTTGGCCAGTTCATCTTTGGTTTTCTGAAACTCTTCCTTCATGTTGGCCATCTCCTTCTCGGTCTCTGCACTCTTGAGGAGGGGCTTGATCCTGAAGAACAGCTTCATCCAGGGCCAATGCTTGACGTTCATGAATGCACGGATGTTGTACTGGATGCAGAAGACGGACTCCCTGAAATTTAATTGATGCAGATTAGATGTTGTAGGGATGATGAAATGAGATGAAATCATGGCAGTGAGAGTTGGAGGTTCTGTCCCCACCATGTTCCTCACCTACTTTCAAAAGCACAGATGAAAGAAATTATATTTAGGGGTGCTGGTCAAAGTCTTGTGAATCACTCATTTCTCTGCATGAGTGTTTCTCAGACTTTGGCATGCATTAAGAATCATCTGAAGGCTTGTTAAAATACGGGTTCCTGGACACTACAGTCAGAGATTCAGATTTGGAAGAACTGAGGTGGGATTTAAAAATTTGCATTTTTAACAAGTTTGCAGGAGATGCTGATGATATGGGTCCAAGGGCCACCCTTGGAGAACTACTGCTCTACATCAGTGCTTCTCAAACTTCTCAGAGCAGTGAAGGGAGAAAACTAGACTCCTGAGGGATATGGGGCATGAGATAAATGGACTCATTAAAAACTCAAGAATTTCTTTGCAAGCATCTGGTTTTGTGTTTTAATGTGTGAATTTTGCATTCTGTTCTGTAATATCATGCTTGTTTTAATCTTAATTATTTTAAAAATTAATTACCCTCACATAAAAGCAATGAACTGCCCAAAGATATGTATAGTGGGTCATAACCAAACTTCTTATTTTTAATGAAATAGAGTTTGGTAGAAAATATTAGCATAACCACAGGTGATAGAAATAAAATTTGTTTCATGTAAATGATTTATATTTATTTAAACATATATACAAAAATGGATGGATGCACAGGTGGCAATATAAAATGCATTTCTCATGAATTCTGTGCATATGCACCTTGCAGTTTGAGGTGACTGGATCTTTAATCTTAGAACTCTGTCTTGCAGTCACATTAGAATGTTAGAAAGCTATGTGCCTTGGGTACATTGTATCAGCTTACTAAACATAATCTTTTACAGATAAATGGCCTCAACATCTTAAATCATAATAGTTTGATATTAGAAATGATGAAACGAAAGTTGCTTCTGTATCCTGTATAAAACCACTGTTGAAAATACTGTCTGATATACAGTTTAATGTCACTTATTTAATTTTCCACCCATTAAATTCATATTAGAACCAAGTGATAGGGCAAAATTTGTCTCTGCTTACTCACTGATACATTTTTTTCTTGTTGGATAAGAACTACACGCACTTAATGCTTTTCTTTTTTTCACTGAACACTCAGAATGTATTCCATGGTGATGATCTCCACCTTAAGTATTCTGGTACATGTAGATCCCACTTCAGTATGGAACTCATCCATTCTTTCTTACATTGGTGGCCTTATCATATCTAAGTCTTAACTGTAAGCTAAGCTACCTCAAATGTGTTTCTGAAGAAGGAAGATGTGACTAAATAAACAATATGTTTTTATACCTTCTCTCCACCATCTTCTGGTACTCCACTCTTGCCAGGTACCCTCTGCACCTGGCCTGGGTTCGCGTGATCAGCTGGGCCAGCTTGTCATCTCGCATCTCCTCTAGGAGCCCCAGAAGACCAGCTTTGAAAAAGACCTGTGTGGGGGCAGAACTGCAGCTCAGAAACTGCAAAAACTTTGAGGGGACAGGAATAGCATCTGGCGGGCTTTAGAGACTATTACCTTGGTGTGACCAAATTTATACTGGGTGTGGTCAATATCAATGGATGCAAGGAGCTTCTCAGAAGCCTTCTTGCTGTCAATGAATTGTCCGTCGGGGATAGCACTCGCGTTTAATACCTTGTATCTGTTAAAATAAATATAGTTTTTTGAAACTTGGTTTATTGATGACACTAAGAATAGCTCAACATGAAATGATCCACTTAGAAATTCAGAGCTTTTAAAAAATTATTCTTTGTTCTCAGTAAGTGCATTGCATGTATGGTCAATCTATTATTGACTATTTTTACTCCATTTTACCTTCCTGCACAGTTGCAACTCTCTGGCCCATCAGACCTTGTTCTCAGGAAAGGATTCTGTAATACTGTTAGCATTATGACGTAGGTGATCAATAAAATGTAACATGTTAGCCTTGCTGGATGCATTTGCTTTTCAAGATCCTGAGTCCAAGAAAGTAAATTTTTATTGAGAAGTCTGGTAGAGGGTACACTATAGGTAGCAGTTCTCAGGCACTGAGTTTTCTGTCAACTCTGCCAGACCCAGACTGAGGAAAGACCAGTTCCCTGTGCTGCCAGCCATCCCCTTGTCCCCTCTTCCTCTTATTTGATTCTCAAGATGGACTTTACTAGGGAGGAAAAAGAAGAGTTGAGGGTCTGAAATTGTGACCTGGTTCTGGGAAACTTGCATAAGAGAGAAAAAATGGTGGTACCAAAGAGGAGACAGAAAATGACTCACTGGCAGCTCTCCATGCATGAAAGAGTTCCTGACTCAGCCACTTAATAACTGTGTAGCTTTGGACAAGTAGCTTAATCTCTTTGAGCCTCAGTTTATTCATCTATAAAATCAGGTACTGATATTACTTCCCTTCACTGAATTTTTGTAGGGATTAAGTGAGGTAATCCATACATATGAAGCACTCAAAAATGGTAGTTCTCAAAATTATTGAAGTTGAGGTTATACATCTATGAGCTAAGCCAAGAACTTGGTGCATCCAAAGAAAGGCCTCAGAGTGCTTGATATGTGGCGTATATATATTTTAAAGGTGTTTAGAGGCTTATAATTTTCTACTTTTTTTGTGGCAGATTAAAAATAACACAGAGAAACATATTTTTCACTAACTTGTTTTGCTTGCACGAAATACATTTATTCTGAACTTTAAGACATACCATAATTAGGGGAGCCTGACCTCTGTTTGAAGTCTGCATAGAGGATCCTGCTGGGGAAGCCCTTCCTGCAGATGCGGATGCCCTCCAGCACACCGTTACACCGCAGCTGGTGCAGCACGAGCTCGTGCTCCATGGCCCCTAAAATAATACATGTTTATTCACTACAGAGATTTTTAAAAAGTGGCTGTGGCAGCCGTGCTTTGTGCTTTCACTCTAAAACTGCTCACCAGGCGTTTTGGTCTCATTGGGGATGATGCAGCGCACAAAGTGGGGGTGGGTGCTCCTCAGGTTGGTCATCAGCTTGTTCAAATTTTCCTGTAAAATCAGGAAAAATCTTGTTGCTTCAGACTTCAGACATGGGTCTGTGCATTTGGTGATGCCTATCAAATCAGTGTTGATGGCTGAGCTGAATGACCAGTTTGGACCATTTTCGCTTAAGATTACACTTTATTATGCCTCTACTGGGATGCAGTTTTCTCCTCTCTCTCCACTGAGTTGGCAGGAGTGACACAGGAAAAGCAGCCTGATACATGATTCTTTTCAGTGTATATAAGCACTGTCCTTCCTCCTGCCTTGGTCCGTGGCCCCCCGACGCATTTACAAGGCCATTGCCTTCCTGTGTACTAGATGGTCACCCTTTCTCCTCCAGAACTGAATTTGGACATTTTCTCATAAATGTAACTCTTCCTTTCCAACCCTCTCAAATTCTAAGGCATAAAAATATCTATAAGGGAAGCAATTCTGCCTGTTATAACTGAACTGGACTGGATTAAAAACAAGGATACCTAAGGTTCCTCATTGGTTAGCTGCTAGATTTTCATTAGTCTTTCTGATGCCTTAGTGGCTCTGAGTACGTGTCACTGCTTACTTTCACAAGTCACCTAAATTATGAATGGCAGAGGAGGATTATGTTTTATAAAATAGCCTATAAAATATTCTTCATTGTGTGGGTTGGCATGAAAGATGAACTAAGAACAATGAATAATTTAAAGTTCTGCTCTCCAAAGCTAGATTAACAACTCATTAGTTAGAGTCCATCTTTTCCTAAAAGACTTCTGGAAAGAAGACCCTGTGCTTTTAAAAACAAATTTCCCAGAGCAATCAGGGACTGTCAAAACCAGTTTTTTCCTTACTCTGAAAAGGGCAGACACCGTCTGGAAAGAAGAGCCCTTCTTCTTGCCACCTTTCTTGGCACCTGCCTCTGGAGAAAAAATAAGAAAAGATGTCACTCAAATACAGTTTCAAATCAACTGTATTTCTTGGACTGTTTCTTGCCAATTTCTTTTCTCATTGAGTGAAGCATTTTCGACACTACTGGCCTCTCTGAACTTGAATGACTTTTACCCCTCAATTTAAGTCTGCATCCATTTTGCTGTGATTTCTTTCTTCATTAGGAAATGCAGTGAAGGGCATTCGCTTCACTGTATAGAGAGAGCCTCCTCAATATTAGGATATTTGGGGACACAGAGTAACTTCAAAAATCACCAATAGAAGCTCAGATTGAGAAGAAGAAATTAGTTGATCTGTTGCTTTACATATCCCCACACATTCAATCAGATGTGAAAATATTCATCAGATGTGAAAGAAGCAGCAGCAGACGATCAAAGAAGCCGAGACTTTTCACTAGTTGAGATCCTGATAGTTCCTCTCTGGCCTTTTGCAGGAGGGCCTCTGTCAATACTGGAGTGAGACTCAAGTGTATGATCTCAATGCAGCCTGCTTACTCAAAACTTGGAAGAACAATGGGCTTGGCCCTTTAAGCCTTCTGCCAGCGCTATCAGCAGCCTTAACCTAACATCACATTTTGTAACACCTAGAGAAAGTATGAGAGGCTTGAGTGTTACCTGCTTCAGCAGTTTGAGCCCCAGAGAAGAGGTGAGCTAGAGTTTTCAATGAAGACTTCTGGTACAGCCCAACCACTGTCTCGTTCAGGGGGTCCTTGTTCTTGTCCAACCAGCCCGTGATGTTGTAGTCCACAGTGCCCGCGTAGTGGATCAGCGAGAAGTGGGCCTCAGTCTTGCCTTTGACCATCTTGGGCTTCTGGAAGTTGGCAGACTTTCCAAGATGCTGCTCATACAGCTTGTTCTTGAAGGAGGTGTCTGTGGCCTTGGGGAACATGCACTCCTCTTCCAGGATGGAGAAGATGCCCATCGGCTGAAAAGCAGACCACATCACAAAATTTTAATCTATTTAAACTTTTTCTCTGTCTATAGAATTAAAATAATTTTAATTCTTATTAGATTAAATAATCTAATTAAATTATTAGAATCGAATAATTTAGTTGTCACAAAAAATGGTTTCTGAAAAGCCAAACAGACCTTCTCGATGAGCTCGATGCAGGCAGCCAGGTCCATCCCAAAGTCGATGAACGTCCACTCGATGCCCTCCTTCTTGTACTCCTCCTGCTCCAGCACGAACATGTGGTGGTTGAAAAACTGTTGCAGTTTCTCGTTGGTGAAGTTGATAGCGTTGATCTCCTCCTCATCCTCAGCCCTCTCAACTGCCTCTTTGATTTTGGCCTCCAGCTGGATTTTGGTTTTGATCAGCTGGTCACATCTTTCTTCTGCATCCGCCAAACCTTCAGCTTCCTTGAGTTGGAATCAAAATCAAAATTGGGAAGAACAAATGAAATATTTCACAATGAAAACAGTGTAAGTCTCTGCTGCTGGTTCTTTAGATTTAAACTTTTATGAGTCACCTTCTATGTGCAGTGCAGGATTCTCCATGACATGGGAAGATGCAAATATATCAGATACTGTACCATTTCTTTAGAGGAGTATATTCTGCAGTAGGTTAGAAAGCCTACCCCACAACACACACAGCTACAATCAATACAGAAAGCAACTAGTGACATAAGAGATCAGAAAAGTTGTATCAGAGATGGTTTCATGAATGAAGTGGCATTTAACTTGGGCCTTGAAAGATGGGTAGGATTTGGTTTTGCAGAAATCAATTTACTGGGGTATGGAGCTGGAGGAGAGAAGGCATTCCAGCAGAAGAAATTCAAAATGTTACTTCTACTAAGCTGTGTCTCTTCGTAGGACAGGTGGATGGTCCTGGTGATGATGCTCTAAGTTCAAGTTGAGGCTAAAGTAATCCAGAGAGTCCTGGCAACCTACTCTGTTCCCAATTAAGAAGGTTAGGGATGGACAGGAAATGAGAGCGATATTGATATATGCATTCACCATTGAGCCTTCATATCCTATCAGCCTTTGAATACACAAAAAGAGTAAAATGTGTTGAATATAGCCATGTGGTGAATATAGTAGTGGAGAACAGATTCTGAGTATTTCTCTAGGGACAATAGAAGAGGATTCAGGATAGATTTGAGGGGGGTGGGAGCAGTAAAACACCTTTTTTTCCATCTGTAGTTATTACTTCCTACTGTAGTTATTTCCTTTTGTAGAAGAAGTGATTATACCACCCAAACTTGAAAGAAAAGACTACTTAATCAACAGGAAAAAACATGATTTTGTGATGGGTAAATTATACCAGACCAATTCAGTTCACTCCAAATGAAAGACAGTCTTAAAAATTACATTTCAGAGTTGATGGAAGCAATTTTAAAATGATTGGTTCAGGAGCAGGGAGCAGGGTGGGTGGAAGAAGAGAGAGCTGGGGCCAGGCAGAGCAGTTAGGTGCTAAAGCAGCAATCGGGTGTGGCACTGTGGGGCTCTGACCACAGAGATGGATCCGAAAGAGCAAATCTGAGTTTTGGAGATCAATAACTAACAACCATTCAGTAAAATCTGACGTAGAAATACTGCCATTTGTCAGCTGTACATTTTGTGATTTAAGACCCACAGACATCTAGAAGTTCAAGGAAATTTCAGAGAAAAAAAATCACTTCTTGCTATCCTCCCCTTAATTTTTATTTGGGATAGTTTCCCATTAAAATCACTTTTAAGAATCTGTCTTCAAAGAGAAAAAAGTCATAAGCCCTGTAATTTGATGAAATTGCATAGAATGGAAGACAATGGTCAGTTGTACCTCACTGCCCTGGTCCTGGCTGGGGAGGGGCTCTTGGGGGATGACGGAGTATGTGGACTTGACGGTACCAGCAGAGTGCCGCAACCTTCTCCCTCTGGTGCCTGCCCAGCTCCCGGCCGCGGGCGGCCGGGGTTCCTGCTCTTGCAGCCTGAGTAGCAGCACCCAGGATGAGAGCACTACTTACAGACTGAACCTGGAGCTGCAAGTCGTTTTTTTCTTTCAACAGTGACACCATCTTTTCTTCCAGTTCCTTCCTTTTTGCCTCTGACTTGGCCAGTTCATCTTTGGTTTTCTGAAACTCTTCCTTCATGTTGGCCATCTCCTTCTCGGTCTCTGCACTCTTGAGGAGGGGCTTGATCCTGAAGAACAGCTTCATCCAGGGCCAATGCTTGACGTTCATGAATGCACGGATGTTGTACTGGATGCAGAAGACGGACTCCCTGAAATTTAATTGATGCAGATTAGATGTTGTAGGGATGATGAAATGAGATGAAATCATGGCAGTGAGAGTTGGAGGTTCTGTCCCCACCATGTTCCTCACCTACTTTCAAAAGCACAGATGAAAGAAATTATATTTAGGGGTGCTGGTCAAAGTCTTGTGAATCACTCATTTCTCTGCATGAGTGTTTCTCAGACTTTGGCATGCATTAAGAATCATCTGAAGGCTTGTTAAAATACGGGTTCCTGGACACTACAGTCAGAGATTCAGATTTGGAAGAACTGAGGTGGGATTTAAAAATTTGCATTTTTAACAAGTTTGCAGGAGATGCTGATGATATGGGTCCAAGGGCCACCCTTGGAGAACTACTGCTCTACATCAGTGCTTCTCAAACTTCTCAGAGCAGTGAAGGGAGAAAACTAGACTCCTGAGGGATATGGGGCATGAGATAAATGGACTCATTAAAAACTCAAGAATTTCTTTGCAAGCATCTGGTTTTGTGTTTTAATGTGTGAATTTTGCATTCTGTTCTGTAATATCATGCTTGTTTTAATCTTAATTATTTTAAAAATTAATTACCCTCACATAAAAGCAATGAACTGCCCAAAGATATGTATAGTGGGTCATAACCAAACTTCTTATTTTTAATGAAATAGAGTTTGGTAGAAAATATTAGCATAACCACAGGTGATAGAAATAAAATTTGTTTCATGTAAATGATTTATATTTATTTAAACATATATACAAAAATGGATGGATGCACAGGTGGCAATATAAAATGCATTTCTCATGAATTCTGTGCATATGCACCTTGCAGTTTGAGGTGACTGGATCTTTAATCTTAGAACTCTGTCTTGCAGTCACATTAGAATGTTAGAAAGCTATGTGCCTTGGGTACATTGTATCAGCTTACTAAACATAATCTTTTACAGATAAATGGCCTCAACATCTTAAATCATAATAGTTTGATATTAGAAATGATGAAACGAAAGTTGCTTCTGTATCCTGTATAAAACCACTGTTGAAAATACTGTCTGATATACAGTTTAATGTCACTTATTTAATTTTCCACCCATTAAATTCATATTAGAACCAAGTGATAGGGCAAAATTTGTCTCTGCTTACTCACTGATACATTTTTTTCTTGTTGGATAAGAACTACACGCACTTAATGCTTTTCTTTTTTTCACTGAACACTCAGAATGTATTCCATGGTGATGATCTCCACCTTAAGTATTCTGGTACATGTAGATCCCACTTCAGTATGGAACTCATCCATTCTTTCTTACATTGGTGGCCTTATCATATCTAAGTCTTAACTGTAAGCTAAGCTACCTCAAATGTGTTTCTGAAGAAGGAAGATGTGACTAAATAAACAATATGTTTTTATACCTTCTCTCCACCATCTTCTGGTACTCCACTCTTGCCAGGTACCCTCTGCACCTGGCCTGGGTTCGCGTGATCAGCTGGGCCAGCTTGTCATCTCGCATCTCCTCTAGGAGCCCCAGAAGACCAGCTTTGAAAAAGACCTGTGTGGGGGCAGAACTGCAGCTCAGAAACTGCAAAAACTTTGAGGGGACAGGAATAGCATCTGGCGGGCTTTAGAGACTATTACCTTGGTGTGACCAAATTTATACTGGGTGTGGTCAATATCAATGGATGCAAGGAGCTTCTCAGAAGCCTTCTTGCTGTCAATGAATTGTCCGTCGGGGATAGCACTCGCGTTTAATACCTTGTATCTGTTAAAATAAATATAGTTTTTTGAAACTTGGTTTATTGATGACACTAAGAATAGCTCAACATGAAATGATCCACTTAGAAATTCAGAGCTTTTAAAAAATTATTCTTTGTTCTCAGTAAGTGCATTGCATGTATGGTCAATCTATTATTGACTATTTTTACTCCATTTTACCTTCCTGCACAGTTGCAACTCTCTGGCCCATCAGACCTTGTTCTCAGGAAAGGATTCTGTAATACTGTTAGCATTATGACGTAGGTGATCAATAAAATGTAACATGTTAGCCTTGCTGGATGCATTTGCTTTTCAAGATCCTGAGTCCAAGAAAGTAAATTTTTATTGAGAAGTCTGGTAGAGGGTACACTATAGGTAGCAGTTCTCAGGCACTGAGTTTTCTGTCAACTCTGCCAGACCCAGACTGAGGAAAGACCAGTTCCCTGTGCTGCCAGCCATCCCCTTGTCCCCTCTTCCTCTTATTTGATTCTCAAGATGGACTTTACTAGGGAGGAAAAAGAAGAGTTGAGGGTCTGAAATTGTGACCTGGTTCTGGGAAACTTGCATAAGAGAGAAAAAATGGTGGTACCAAAGAGGAGACAGAAAATGACTCACTGGCAGCTCTCCATGCATGAAAGAGTTCCTGACTCAGCCACTTAATAACTGTGTAGCTTTGGACAAGTAGCTTAATCTCTTTGAGCCTCAGTTTATTCATCTATAAAATCAGGTACTGATATTACTTCCCTTCACTGAATTTTTGTAGGGATTAAGTGAGGTAATCCATACATATGAAGCACTCAAAAATGGTAGTTCTCAAAATTATTGAAGTTGAGGTTATACATCTATGAGCTAAGCCAAGAACTTGGTGCATCCAAAGAAAGGCCTCAGAGTGCTTGATATGTGGCGTATATATATTTTAAAGGTGTTTAGAGGCTTATAATTTTCTACTTTTTTTGTGGCAGATTAAAAATAACACAGAGAAACATATTTTTCACTAACTTGTTTTGCTTGCACGAAATACATTTATTCTGAACTTTAAGACATACCATAATTAGGGGAGCCTGACCTCTGTTTGAAGTCTGCATAGAGGATCCTGCTGGGGAAGCCCTTCCTGCAGATGCGGATGCCCTCCAGCACACCGTTACACCGCAGCTGGTGCAGCACGAGCTCGTGCTCCATGGCCCCTAAAATAATACATGTTTATTCACTACAGAGATTTTTAAAAAGTGGCTGTGGCAGCCGTGCTTTGTGCTTTCACTCTAAAACTGCTCACCAGGCGTTTTGGTCTCATTGGGGATGATGCAGCGCACAAAGTGGGGGTGGGTGCTCCTCAGGTTGGTCATCAGCTTGTTCAAATTTTCCTGTAAAATCAGGAAAAATCTTGTTGCTTCAGACTTCAGACATGGGTCTGTGCATTTGGTGATGCCTATCAAATCAGTGTTGATGGCTGAGCTGAATGACCAGTTTGGACCATTTTCGCTTAAGATTACACTTTATTATGCCTCTACTGGGATGCAGTTTTCTCCTCTCTCTCCACTGAGTTGGCAGGAGTGACACAGGAAAAGCAGCCTGATACATGATTCTTTTCAGTGTATATAAGCACTGTCCTTCCTCCTGCCTTGGTCCGTGGCCCCCCGACGCATTTACAAGGCCATTGCCTTCCTGTGTACTAGATGGTCACCCTTTCTCCTCCAGAACTGAATTTGGACATTTTCTCATAAATGTAACTCTTCCTTTCCAACCCTCTCAAATTCTAAGGCATAAAAATATCTATAAGGGAAGCAATTCTGCCTGTTATAACTGAACTGGACTGGATTAAAAACAAGGATACCTAAGGTTCCTCATTGGTTAGCTGCTAGATTTTCATTAGTCTTTCTGATGCCTTAGTGGCTCTGAGTACGTGTCACTGCTTACTTTCACAAGTCACCTAAATTATGAATGGCAGAGGAGGATTATGTTTTATAAAATAGCCTATAAAATATTCTTCATTGTGTGGGTTGGCATGAAAGATGAACTAAGAACAATGAATAATTTAAAGTTCTGCTCTCCAAAGCTAGATTAACAACTCATTAGTTAGAGTCCATCTTTTCCTAAAAGACTTCTGGAAAGAAGACCCTGTGCTTTTAAAAACAAATTTCCCAGAGCAATCAGGGACTGTCAAAACCAGTTTTTTCCTTACTCTGAAAAGGGCAGACACCGTCTGGAAAGAAGAGCCCTTCTTCTTGCCACCTTTCTTGGCACCTGCCTCTGGAGAAAAAATAAGAAAAGATGTCACTCAAATACAGTTTCAAATCAACTGTATTTCTTGGACTGTTTCTTGCCAATTTCTTTTCTCATTGAGTGAAGCATTTTCGACACTACTGGCCTCTCTGAACTTGAATGACTTTTACCCCTCAATTTAAGTCTGCATCCATTTTGCTGTGATTTCTTTCTTCATTAGGAAATGCAGTGAAGGGCATTCGCTTCACTGTATAGAGAGAGCCTCCTCAATATTAGGATATTTGGGGACACAGAGTAACTTCAAAAATCACCAATAGAAGCTCAGATTGAGAAGAAGAAATTAGTTGATCTGTTGCTTTACATATCCCCACACATTCAATCAGATGTGAAAATATTCATCAGATGTGAAAGAAGCAGCAGCAGACGATCAAAGAAGCCGAGACTTTTCACTAGTTGAGATCCTGATAGTTCCTCTCTGGCCTTTTGCAGGAGGGCCTCTGTCAATACTGGAGTGAGACTCAAGTGTATGATCTCAATGCAGCCTGCTTACTCAAAACTTGGAAGAACAATGGGCTTGGCCCTTTAAGCCTTCTGCCAGCGCTATCAGCAGCCTTAACCTAACATCACATTTTGTAACACCTAGAGAAAGTATGAGAGGCTTGAGTGTTACCTGCTTCAGCAGTTTGAGCCCCAGAGAAGAGGTGAGCTAGAGTTTTCAATGAAGACTTCTGGTACAGCCCAACCACTGTCTCGTTCAGGGGGTCCTTGTTCTTGTCCAACCAGCCCGTGATGTTGTAGTCCACAGTGCCCGCGTAGTGGATCAGCGAGAAGTGGGCCTCAGTCTTGCCTTTGACCATCTTGGGCTTCTGGAAGTTGGCAGACTTTCCAAGATGCTGCTCATACAGCTTGTTCTTGAAGGAGGTGTCTGTGGCCTTGGGGAACATGCACTCCTCTTCCAGGATGGAGAAGATGCCCATCGGCTGAAAAGCAGACCACATCACAAAATTTTAATCTATTTAAACTTTTTCTCTGTCTATAGAATTAAAATAATTTTAATTCTTATTAGATTAAATAATCTAATTAAATTATTAGAATCGAATAATTTAGTTGTCACAAAAAATGGTTTCTGAAAAGCCAAACAGACCTTCTCGATGAGCTCGATGCAGGCAGCCAGGTCCATCCCAAAGTCGATGAACGTCCACTCGATGCCCTCCTTCTTGTACTCCTCCTGCTCCAGCACGAACATGTGGTGGTTGAAAAACTGTTGCAGTTTCTCGTTGGTGAAGTTGATGCACAGCTGCTCCAGACTGTTGTACTAAATAAATAGGTGTGTTTTCTATTTAGCAAATTGAACATTCTAAAATATAAGACCTTTTAATTTAAAAATATATACTAAGTAGCCCTTGGATTACAGATATCAAAGTCAGTGAGGGGGGACTGTGAAATCTATTATTTGCTGCCCTTTTATACAAAATCTTAAATCATACATACAAATACTCTTTTCCTGCACTTGCTTAAGTTTACTTGGGTATTTTTCTGAGTTCCTATTTAATCATTCCATGTGCATTCCCATTGTTTCTGTTGACTCCATTAAGAGCTCATTTGCAATCCATTAGAAGCTGGCTGGGAGGAATCTCTGTTGTATAGAAGTCTTCATTGCATGTGAACACTAATTACCACCCTGGTTCTTTAATGTGGAGTGAAAAAAAAATCAAGATACCTAATATGATGTACAGCTAATAAAACTTGAACATGTTTTTTTAAAAAGCCAAAATGTTAGCATTAGCTAGCTATAAATAGTGGAATTAATGTGGAATCTTTTTCTTGATTTTCCCTATTTTCTGCAATGCCCAAGTTTTGCTTTTATAATTGGAAAGAGAAAGACCTTAGAAACTGTAAGCAGGAAAAAAATATATTTCAACATCAAATATGAATTGTTATGCTATGCTATCACATTAATAAGAATTAATGCTGACTCTAAATTACTCAGCTGACAGAATTTTCTTAGCTCTTATTATCTTGCCTCAGCACTTCCGAATGCTTTTTCCACTGTGTATTCAGACATAGTGTATGTTGCACAGGTTTACTTTGATGTTTTCATGTTAACTTCATTTTGCACAGTGGGATTTTCAGAGCCCCCCATTACACTAAGCTAATTCCTCACTCCCTTTGGATCACATAGCAAGTTAGAGTCCTATTTAGTGCACTGTTTCTTATAGAGAGGGAATTGCCACTACAATAAATGATTAGTAGCTGCCCAGTCACACTCTTTTAAGCCTAAGCATGACTTTTTGACAGTGGTAAGAAATGGTCGTAATCACAAAATTCTTCTTAATAATATTGTCATTGCCTCACTGTAACATCCCCTTACCAACCAGTTGCCTACTCACATCAAAGATCTCAAAGCCAGCGATGTCCAAGACCCCGATGAAGTACTGCCTGGGCTGCTTGGTGTCCAGTTGCTGGTTGATGCGGGCGACCATCCACAGGAACATCTTGTCGTAGACGGCTTTGGCCAGAGCACCCACCGCATTGGTCACCTTGATAGGTAAAAATATATCTCTTGAGGTTATTAAAGAACCTTAAAAATGCTTGCATTCCTGGCAATGAATTTGAATTATGCACCTACCTGCTCTACAGTCTGGCCTTTGGTGACAAACTCATTGCCGACCTTGACCCTGGGGTAGCAGAGGGCTTTGAGCAGGTCAGCAGAGTTCAGACCCTGGAGATAGGCTGCCTTGTCAGCAACTGAAAGGACGAGAGGATAGAATGATGTTTACTTCGCCCAAAGCAACCCACTTCCTTAGAAAGAAATCTTTTAAGCTACAGGTTTTTGTGTTTTCAGAATATTTTTTTGAGCATTTCTGACCATTTTTTTCACTAAACTCATGACCATCATTATGAGTAGTGTGCCCTAAAGAACTCAGAAATTACAGGGAACATCTAATAGCCATGCTTCATACAGTATATTATCTAGGTATACTTTAAAACTCAATTCTTAAAAATAAATTTGTCTTCCTAGGAAAACTCAAGAATAGCAAGTTAAGAATGTGATTGTCAAACAAACATGAGGTCAGGCGAATGACTCGGTTGATACCTTCGGTGCCATCTGGCTCTGCCTGCTCTTCACGCTGCTTTTGCTTGAATTTCAGGTTCCCATAATGCATCACTGCCCCTGTGAGCTTGTAGATGGAGACCTTTTCTTCATTGGTAAAGCCCAGAATATCAATAGCACTCTGTCAGTATAACCGATAGGATACTGTTAGGTTATGATCTCCACACACTTACTATGAAGAGTTCACTTTCCGATTCCTAACTTGCTGATCAAACCAAGGAAACTACCAGTATTGATAAGGGACAAGACACATCTTAGATTGGTGTATAGGGAGCTAGTAAACCAAAAGCCAGACTGAGCATTAGAGTTATAGGTACATACCCTCTGAGGATTCAAAAGTAAACTTAAGACAGAGAACAAGATAGTAAACTTAAGGAACTTGCTATTCTGAGATGTGGTATGTACTTAATGCAATAGATTACAATGGTCTAGATGAATTCAGAAATGAAAGACCTTTAAAAGACTATTAAGGAAAGTAAAAGGTTGTAGGGGAACATCCTAATCTTATCAGTTAACTCCAGTGGTACATCCACTCCAGTGGCTAATCTTAAATTCTCTTTTGCTATTTCTGCTAGAAATTGCACATTTACCTAGAAGGGACCATTGCTCTAATACAGCGTATTCATTCTAATTTTCTTTTGTTGTACTTACATCTGTGGCTATCAGTTCTTCCTGATCATCAATGCTAGCCACACTAATCTCCCCTTGACTGACGAATGGGTAATCATATGGGTTGGTGGTAATCAGAAGCATTTCTAAGTACAAGGAACAGAGCAAAAGCAAGCAGAATTACCGTCTTCATTAAAACAAGAGATTTCTAGGATAAATTCTTAGGTACTACATGATGCCAAAAAAGATAATTACATATTGGAAAAAGTTATATCTGTAGGGATAATCAGTGCAGTGTTGACTATTTAAAATCCAGAATTGGAAACAACCTAAATATTCTTAAAATGATATAGTTAAGTAAATTATACTATCTCTAGTATGTGACACTGTATAATCCTCAGAAATAATAATGTAGAGGGAACATCTAATAGCCATGCTTCATATAGTATATTAATCAATGAAAAAAGTAGATTACAGAAGAACATCAAACTATATTCCAGTTATTTTATGTATGTACCTATATGTAAAGATATATGTACAGAAAATAACTGGAATGATATTGATCTAGGTACTTATCATGGTTATTTCATAGTGATAGGATTTGGAAGTGTTATTTTCAGTTTTCTTTTCAAATTTTTATAATAAGCGCATATAAATTTCTACCAACCTTATAAAGCTATTTTCAAAATCAAGGTTATGTATCAACTTGACAAAATTCTGTGGAATACTAGTTTGGAGCAGGCATTGATAAGTGCTGGGTGCAATACTGAAAAGAAGTCATGAAGTTTCTTACCAATTAGTTCTGGTTTCTTGTTTGATGTGATTTGATAAAAAATATGATAGCTCCTTTCAGCCTTAAGCTGGAAAGTAACTCTAGACTTCTCTAACAGATCTGGAGGTAAACAAATAACAAAGAGGAAAAATGCACAATTTATGTGAGATGCAAATATGGGCTAACTTTATAGGCCATAAGAAACAGAAACAATGGTAAAGGCTATCCAAGAACTTACAAGTTTCAATATCAGCGGAAGCCAGCTTTCCTGTAGTGCCAAAGTGGATTCTGATGAATTTACCCTTGAAAGGAAAACCAATATTACTGCTTTGTGTTTAAGTCATATCAAATCTTTGAGAAACTCAAAACACTTGAACTGCTAGTTCATTAATATTAAATCAAGTCAGAGACTGTGTTTATCAGGTAGAAAAGGTGCATCCCCTATTTTGTAGGCAAAATGAAAATTATCTTTAGTTTAGAAACTGTGAACATTTGTAGGTAATGACACATAAGGAAGAACCAAGTAGGGTCGCCTATCTTTTTAGATGGGACATGGATCCAGGTCATTATATGCTCAGAGGAAAAGGAAAGAACCGGATACAATGTAATGTGAATGGAAAAGATTCTCAGAATGTGTTCACCAGCATCCCATCGTTTATAACCAGCAGGCAATGTCTGCAGCAGTGGCCAAGTGACTCACAAAGCGAGAGGAGTTGTCGTTCCTCACAGTCTTGGCGTTGCCAAAGGCCTCCAGCAGGGGGTTGGCACTGATGATCTGATCCTCAAGTGTCCCCTGCAAAGGCAAGAGCAGGCCTCACATGTGGGGCTCAGGAACTTCTTACCCAAGAGCCCAGATTCTGACCTTGGCGATCAGACCCACCTGCATTTTGCCACTTTCCTCCTTCTTCTTGTCTCCAGTAACTGCAATTGTTGCAAAGTACTGGATGACACGCTTGGTGTTCACGGTCTTCCCTGCACCAGATTCTCCACTGTCAAATAAAAACTAAGTCAGATGAGGTCCCAAAAGTGGCAGCTATTGCAGCCATGGAAAGAAGGCATAAAATCTACTTACGTGATCAGGATTGACTGATTCTCTCGGTCTATGAAAGAGAAATTACAGACATTTAACACTGTTTTCCTGTATATTTGTAAATTGTAGGTAACCTGGACTGAACTTAGTATTTTTCAGACTGGGCTTTGCAATCCCCAGGGCTTCTTGGGCTCTGGGCCTACTACCTTTCCTAGTATGCTCTTTGCCTGCTCTTCATCCCACCGCTCCCCACATTAGCATGGGTACAACCATCTAAAAGGGAACACTACAACAAAGCACCAGCCCTTTTCTTTTTAATACTCTGCCACTAAATAAATGTCAAAAGTGGACTTGAGTCTTTAGTTGGATTTAGATGACAGCTTAGGTAGTGACATATTTGTATCAGGTGCAGGAAGTAATGAAAAATAGGCATTGGAGAAATTTTAACATGTGTAAAGGAGTAAATAGAGTAAAGGTGGTACTTTGGAAGTGATCATGGCTTTAGTCATATTTCTGGGGAAAGGTAAGCATTCATTTTCCATTTTACTCTCTCTAAAGAGAAGTTCTTTAAGCCCTTTCCCCAAGGTGGGACAAGTACCTTAGATTGGCCTACTGAGACAATATTCCAGGAAGAAGATTCATTGTGTAACTGTTTTAATACCAGATGCGCCTTAAAATCTAGAGTGATGTCAGGTCAGTTCCGCACAAAGGACAATAGTATTTACATCATCCTTAATAGAGAGAGACTGTTCATCGGTCATAATTTCTGATATTGAGGATAAGGCCACATAAGCAACTTTTATTCTGTTTTTCGGCTCTTGGTAATGGAAACACAGTTTGTATGTGTGATTGTGTATGTGTGTGTGTGTGTGTGTGTGTGTGTGTTTGTGCATACGTACATGTAGACATTTATATTTTTGTTCAAGCTTTTTTGTTTTTGTGTCATTTGAAAGAAAATTATCTAATTATTAACTATGGCCAACCTCTGTTGACTTTTAAAAGTTTAAGAGATAATTAGCAATTATATAATAGCAAGTCATCTTTTACACTCTCTCCTTCCTGGACCTTCTTCTTCACAAATTCATCAGCTTCAACTAAAGGAGACTATCTCAAAGATCATGTTGAAATGGTTAGAGTATCTTTCTCCTGTGGTTCTGCTCCAAAAAGATCATGTGCACATAAAGCATTTGACTCACCAGTCAGCATGAACTGATAGGCATTGTCGGAGATGGAGAAGATGTGGGGCGGGGCCTCCTGGCGCTTTTTGCCTCGGTAGGCAGCCACCACCTCAGGGTTGTACACTGGCAGCCACTTGTAGGGGTTGACGGTGACACAGAAGAGGCCCGAGTAGGTCTGTGCCAGAAAAAAAAAGAATAACTACCCAAAGGCCCTTTCTGTTAGTTGAGCAATTCACTTATTAATGTTCTAACTACAAGGAGCACTTTAAGTAAGTATTCTACATTTGTTCAGGCATCAGCCTGAAAACTAATTGGAAGGTTCAACAATGAGACAGCAAAACCCGCAAAGGAAGGGACCACAATTTAGACCTTTTATTGTACTTCTTGGGCCTTGTCACAGCAAGAGTTCTAAAAGTTTTTTTTTTAATATGTAGTATGAGACATTTTACTGTGTTCAATGGGTAGTGTGAGACATTTTTACTGTGTTTTAGGATATAGGCAGATATTTCCTTTTCAGCATTAAGATAGTTCAAATCCATGAAAACAAATTGGGGCACAACCTAAGAGCACAACGATATGGAAATGGTTAGGTGACATGTGGTAAATCTTCTTAAGACACTATGATGCAGGCATTGAAATAGGTGAATTTGAAAGTAGGCTGCAATGTTGGGAAAATATTTGCAACATACTGTTAAGTTAGGAAGAAATAAAACACAGAATGATGGAAATACACTGTGATTACAACAGGGGGATTTTCCAGATCTTGACAATTGGTGTAAGACAGGCACCCACCAATGCTGACCAGGTCCACCTGTATAGGTGTGGCCCTGCTGAATATCAGCACTGGCTAAATTATACAAAAATGCTGATGTCACCTAATAAATTCAACTATACAATATCTACTGAGAGCATTTTATGTACCGGGCCTCTGCAAGGCATTGGAACAAAACACAAATGCGATGCTGTTCCTTCAAGGTCTCCCAGCCTACACAGGAGACAGACAGGTAATGAATGATGGCAGAAAAATGTGGTCAGTGTTATTATTGTAGGGACAGAAACAATAGGACATAACATCCAATTTGCCTGAGGAATTTGGATGGTTTCCTCAAGGAGGTGACATTCGTAGAAGGGACCAGAACACACAGCTACAAATGCTGTTATTTGGGAGGAATGGAAATGAGTGAAATCTAGTCTGTAAAACATTTTCTTCATGTGTTAAAACGTATTATCTTTTCTCTCTGGATGATTTTGTAGCTGGGATGAGGGGATGGTAAAAGATGAAAGCATGTAGTGGAGATATAAGCAGTAGCCGCTCCAATGTTTGTCTGTGGGATCTGTGGCAAACCCAGTCCACGTGGACAATGGCCTTGCCCAGCTTTTAATGAGAAGACAGTTCCAGCTCTTCGGTTGTGTTTTACAATAGCAGTAGTGAATATTTTAACTAGTCAACTAACTAGCATACTAGTTAATTAACTAGTTACCTTTTATACTAACTGGTTACACTACTAATGAAAGTAAAATGAGTCTCTACTCTGACCCACTGATGCTCTGGAAGAAGCAGTGGGCTGGTGGGGGCCATGGCGATGAGGGTGAAGCCTCCTCTGGGTGGGGAGGCACTCACGTAGATCATCCAGGCTGAGTAGCGCTCTTTGAGGTTGTACAGCACCGCGGGCTCGTGCAGGTGGGTCATCATGGCCATGTCCTCGATCTTGTCGAATTTGGGAGGGTTCATGGGGAAGACTTGGTCATCCTTCACTGTCAGAGTCTGGTAAACAGAAAAGGTAACTGTTATGTTAACACTAAACCAAAAAAAAAGGATCAATCAAATGTTGCCGGGCCCTGGGACTTCACTCACTGCCCCCGCGTCAGTCTTGACAGTCACTTTCCCAGCTTCTTTGCTTTGCATCGTCCCTTTGACGAAGGATTCCTTGGGCTCCGCCACAAAGACAGCTGTCTTGGCATCGAAGGGCCTATTCTGGGCCTCAATGCGCTCCTTTTCAGATTTTCGGAGGTATGGAGCAGCCTCCCCAAATACGGCCATTTCCTGATCCGAACTCATGGCTGCTGAACTCAGTCAGAGGTCCTAAAGGAGATGAAACCACTTCACACTAGAGATCATGGACTGTCATGAGCATCAATAAATCTCTATACTGATGATATTTCATGGAAAACTCATTAGTTATAAATTCCAACAGGCATGTCCTCTGTCCACTGCGCTATAGTTACTACAAACATGACCATAAAGACTCAGATACATCAGGGGATGCTGTGTACCCAACACTGTACTGGGGGCTTTATGTCCATTATCTTCTTTTATCCTCTAAGACTGGCAGCTAATCAGAGAGCTGGGCTGTGGACTCAGCATGCTCCTAAGGAGCTTGTGACCTTGGGTAAGACCCTTGATCTCTTTGAGCCTCGGTGTCTCCATCTTAAGAATAGGGATTACAGTATTTGCCTTTCTTAATTCACAACCCATGAAGTATTGTAAAAATACTTTGAAAAAAAAAGTTAAAATGATGACTGAAAAAGCAGTTTGAAATCGTTCAGGCTACCATTATATATAAAATGTCACTTATGATAATGTAATAAATTCCATTTCTTGACATATAATGGAAGAGAACTCTATTTCCTGCTTTTGATATTCCACCATAAGTGCTCAAATTCAGTGGTTTTGAGGATTGTAATTTTGTTTGTTTGCTTAGTAGAAGGTGCCAAACATAATTTCTTTGCTTATTAAATCCAGTTAATTCAGTTTAACCTGGTTAAACTAATTGAGGATCAAAGCCATGGCAAACATTAACTCATTCTTCAAACATTGAAGGGCTCCCTCTGCTATCCCAGATTTCCTTCTGAAGAGTGCAGGCTGGCGGTGCTCCGTGTGGGTTTTCTGCAGGTTGCCAATGGCATCAACAGAACGAAAGGTTTGGCAAAGAATGCTACCACAGTCATTACGGGAGCAATTACTTGAACTTGTTTTAATCAGCTATCTGCCAGACTCTCTCTTTAGAAATTCAGTGGGTCTTAGGGCAAAGTAACACCTTCGTCATATATGTAACAAGTTTCACAGTGTTTTGTTTTCATGTAAAATTCAGTATTGGGTAAGGTAACCTTTTAAAAGTTTTTAAAGGAGTTTAAAGGAAGCATTTTCCTAGGTACCTCCTTTCTTATTTGTTAAGATAGCTTGTTTACTAAATGAATCCTAATAACAGGATACATTTGTATCTAATTTGAGACTATTAGCCAGGGTATTCTGGTGCAGATTTTCTCCCCCTATGGAAAAAAAAAATTCTATTGAGTGACTCTCCTGCTAAAATGTGATCCCACCGATATTTGAGTCCTCAATGAGTATATATACCCTGTTCTAAAAGACAAGTTCTCCCTCTCTCCCTCTCCAGCTCCCTTACCAAAGTACAGTTGTTAAGGTATTTACTGAGACAAGCAGTTTCTCAAAGGTTGCTAAGTGACACAAGTCCATCCTAGAGGCTCTTCTCCTTCAGGGACTGGTTAGTCCAAATCTTACCTTGTTAGCAAGTGAGAAGATCTACACTGGAAGTGAGACAGTTCTGCAAAAAAAAAAAAACAGAAAAGGGAAAAACACTTTATTAACCAAAAGCAGAAAAATAAAACAAAAACAAAAACCAAACCCATTTGCTGCATTACTTGCTATTGTAAACAGAAGACAACGGAAGTCATGGATGTAAAACATGCAGTATCAGGAGGAGCAGTACCAGAACAAGCAGCTGCAGGGACACACGGGGCGGTGTGGCCAGTGTCCCTCCTGAAAGCCCAGTCCTGTTCCCACTTACCTTGGAGCTTTTTAAAGCAGGACGAGTCAGTGTCATTCCAAGGGCTCTTTTATATGGATAGCTATGGAAACAATGCAGCTGCCTCTTCTTTCTTAAGTCAAAAGGAATTGTTTGGCAAAAAAAGTCTTGGCAATCTTGTGTCCCTGCATGATTCTCATTCATATGAAGAATGGTTGGATATAATTAGAAATATTTTTCTTATTGAGTATGTGAATAAATCTCCTATGGATAATTTGAGAAGATGATCTGAAAGGAAGGTTCAGGCTGGTGGATAAAGGCAGTGACAGGGCAGCCAGAATAACTGGCGTCTGCCATAAATTCTTCCTGGCCTTTCTGGACATGCCACGCAGGCTTGCCTGGCATCACTTTTCATATTTAACATATTAAATGATAGGAATAAAATACAAATACCAGTTTAATTTCATGAGGGTTAATTTTCACCTACTGATCCTTTCCTTCCAGCCCTGCAAAATTAAAGTACGTGCCTTCAACAATTTAAAAAGGTCTTCTCTTCGTTCCGGTGTTCTGGTAGTTTGGGGGATATCCTTACGTTCTCAGTGTTTCGCTTTTGCCTGGACTGGTCCTCGACACAGCATACCATTCCCTGTCTACCTACTCACCTGTCTTGCATGCAATAAGAAAAGGATGACTATTTTCTAGTGGTAAAAGATGCATTTAGGGAATGTGTCCCAACATTTTTCATGTCAGCACATTGAGAAAAAAAAAAGATATATTAGTGTAGTAGGCTAGAGTAATGTGGAAGTGATTTGGCTATATCTATAAAGGGTTTGATGAGAACATTTCTTTATGTTTTTATATTTCTTTATGTGATATAAATATATATACAGGATTAAGGAAAATATGAAATATTTAATGTGTCTAGTTTCTAAATAATATCTTTTTTAAACTTCTAAGGAGAAATTTCAGCTGGATTCCAATAACAAAATGTGTTAATATCTGGCTTTACCTTTGAAATAACATGCAGTTCCTGATCAAAATTTTTTAAATGATGGCATACAGTATTTGAATTCCCAATAATTACCATCATGGGGAATCTTTACATAAGAAGGTGATGAAAGGTAAAGCCATATATATATTTTTTACAACTGTTGAAATTATATATTTAAAATTTACCAGCTCCTTTTCCCTTCATTGATGAATACACTGTCGAAATTTCTAGGATGAGAATAAATTTTGAATGCACTTGAACTCTTTTTCATATCAAATATTTCAAAAGATGATGAAACTCCCATCTGCAAAAAGTCTATGTGTTTATGAAAGGAGTTGCCCTGCTGCTAGGTTGGTCACTACTAAAAAGGCACATCAGCCACACACACACACACACATATATATATATATATAAGTGCCTGATACATTCGAAGTCCAAGATTTGGAGCCATCACTCTGAGCCGCCCCCACCAGGGCAACCTACTTGGCCTACCAGTACCGCTCCTCTGGCTGGCCACTCTCTGGGCCACCTGCCCTGTTCCAGGCATCCTGGAATGCCAGCCTTCCCAGCAACTCCAGGGGTCTCCTGGCTGCAGCCAGCACCATCACACTCCCAGCTGGCTGCTAAAGCAAATGCCCTTCTTGGTTCCACTCAGCACATGGCAAATGCCACCATTATGCTTGCTTCCTCTGGGGACTTTAGGGAACACCTTCAAACTCTAACTCATCCCAGGCTACCCTCTGAGCTGGAGACCACCTCCCAAGGATCTGGCTTGCCTTCCCACCCAGCCACCCCAAGACTCAAGGGATCCATATTTCATGGCACGTATGTAGCCTTTTTGATGCCAAGACACACTGATTGGGCAGCTCTGCTTTAAGGTGAGCTATGGTTCTATTTCCCTGTACTAAGCAGCCATATTTAGGGCCCAAGTCAAAGTTCTGATATTCTCTTCTTCCATTCCTGCTGCCCATAGGCATTTTCTTTATACTTTATTAAGTATTTCTTGGTTTATATTCTCTACAAAATGTCCTTCACTCTTCAGTCACCTCATGATAATATACTCTGCTTTCTCAGTTTGCAAACTCCTTTGGTGAAAAGCATATTTATAAGTAGAATCTAATGTATTATTTTTGAATGTAAAGAAGAAAATGCAAAGTTTCATTCCCAGTTGAGAGATACACCTTCCTAGTTCCCTGTGCCACTTGGCCCACGATTTGTGATGGCTAAATGTTCTCTGAGAACTAGGGCTTAAGGAGGATGTCAGTCAGGATAATCTGCTTTTCTACTCTGCAAACAAGTCAAAGATATACATTCACTTCAAGCATTTTTTTTTCAAATTTCACCAATCTTTTGACCACTTCTCTCATGAGTCAGGGGCTCTCTACTTTCCACTGCTTACCCCGTAGGCTTTCTGTCACATTTAGGTCTAGCGACCACTCAGGAATGGAAGGAATTCAAGAGTGAATACTGGTCTGTGCAGTGCAAGGAGGTTCCAGGGGAAGAGTAGCCACTGATGCTGTCATCAGGCGGTTGTTATCTAACTGAGAAACCAAGAGAGCAGTAATGAAGAAGCTCAGGTCACCTTCAAAACAATGTGATAGCAGATGAAAAACAAAAATACAGTGTGTAAATTTTTACAGAGAAGGAGCCATATTTTATGCAGCTGTGTGATCCTTATCAGCACCTAGAATGGTGAGAACATACAGAAAGTGTCTCTGAATTCTAGTTTACAAATTCCAAATGCTCCAGGTTTCTTTATCCTAGTCATTGTGGTCCCCATCAACTGAAACTGTATCTTGGATTTGACTTTTCACTACACACCACCTAGGTATTCTTGGAAATATACTAAACTTTTTCAAGACTCCGTTTCCTGATCAATAAAATCATAAGGATTTTTGAGGAATAAATAAGACAATAGAATGCTTAGAAGCTTAGAACAGTGTATGGCACCCATTACTAATTCGAAAAATATTAACTATTGTGATTACAATGGCCCGGTCTTTGGTTAGTTCTTATTCTGAATTCTCTACTGCACTTATTCTGAACTCTAGTTTCCTTTCTGACTCCTCCAACAAAACATGCTTGCTTCACCCATCATTCCAATCACCCAGAACACATTTCCAGAGCATTACCATGTACCAGGCTCTTAGGTAAGTGCCTCACTGCCACCATGCAATGCCCTCCTCTCTCTTGAATCATTTATATGTCGTATGTATATTAAAATCCAGGTCAGCCTTTGGACATTTTTTGTGGCTATTCTACCTGATGCAGAAAGGGTAGTTTGGCCAAGAAAGAGACAAACTTGTGTAAGCTGTTACATTAAGATGGATATGAAGAAATGAGAGTCCAGTCTAGGTGTTAGAAATGAAGAAGAAAGGATGCTCAGGGAAGTAGTTAACTGGTGATCTCCAGGGAGGGGAGCTGAATGTTTGAGGGTCGAAGGGAGACTGGTGTTTCATACTACACCCTTTTGTACCTTTTGAATGTTATGCTGGGTGCATCTATTACTGCTTGAAAAATTCAAAGTGATTATTTGTCAGAAGAAGATCCTCTCAAATAGGAAAGTTTTCATATTGAAATCCAAAGTAGTATGACCACAAAATTAGAGATGAGACATTAAGTCCTAGAGGAGTTGGGGTCCAAGAGGAAAGTTTTCAGTGGCCCCCTTCTTTCTCTTTTCCATGGACTAGGTTCTAGGTCCATCAGCCTACATGTTGAAAACTGACGGTGTTGATGTTGTTTTCAGAATGTGTTTGTTTTCTGGTCCCAATTTGGTAGCTTTGCACCATATACCCACATGTATAAAAGTCCCGTCAGTAGAAAGCTGCACTTCCAAATGTCCAGCCATGGAATTTCCTGAGAATATGCTTATAAAGAAGAAAAGATATTGCAAGCAAGATAAGCAAGAGACATATGGGAGTTCTCATGAAGTTATTGAGAGAGATGGTGAGGGTCATTCAAAAGCCATTTATAATTTGATTTTTTCATGTATTACGTGGCTCTTCTTAGTAGTCGCAGATTCAGCTTTCAGAGAATACATACATTATATAGTCCTAATTTGAATGTGGGAGAGCGAAGGTTTTTATCTGTGAGCACTCATCGGTAGAACTGTCCAGGAAGTTGCGGGAACTGTGCTGTGCTACAAGAATCCAGAGGCTTATTGTATGTAAAACAGCTTATTAAGCACTTAGGAGAAAAGGAGGATGGACTTGTGGTGACTTACCTCAGCACAGAGCACAGAATCTGTTCAGAGATAAGGGAATTGGGTGACCCTTCATGGAGAAACTTGGGAGAAGCAAAACTAACTTCCTTAAAACTAAACCAATGTTTTGTTTTGTTTCCCCAACCACAAAAGTAATATATATATATGGTTATTCTAGAAATTTGGAAAAAGAACTAAAGTCTAGAGAAATTATTTCATAATGTTGGATGCAGAGAAAAATGGATTCATTTCTGCACATATCAACATTCAATTGCTTATTTGTATCAGGTTCATTTGATCATGCAATAAAGAGGTATAATCCATATATACATGGTCTCAATTACCCTCCTGCTTATTAAATAGTAGGCATCAATACATGTTAGTTGAATCACCAATGAATAAATGAACATAATTTTGGTAATGCCACTATTTACATAACATTTTATAGCCTGTAAATATAACCTGTAACATTTAAGGGCATTAGCTCTTTTTTTTCTTTCAAACTCTGGGATCCAGAGTGTGTGGATAAATTCTCCACAGTTTATATCTGAGGAAACTGTGAATCAGAGCAGTGAGAAATGGCTTACTTAATCAGAACGAAACTCAAAGATTTCCTCTTCCACACTCCATTGCTTTTAATGCCTAATATATGTAACTGGCTACTTTCATTCCAGAATTGCCCTAGCTCCTTTGGGTTGACTATCAGGATGTAAGTTAGTAAACTGCTAGCCTTAACTAGGCATCTAACAATATTGTGGGGAAGGTAAGATGACAGACCAATATAAATATATCAGTGGTTATTCCAAAATGCAGAAAATTTCAAG